AAGACCTCCAGTAGGACCAGCGTAGGGAGAAGGAGAAGGCAGGGGAGAGGCGGGCTGTAACTGTGACCGTGACGGGACAGGCTGCGGACACTCTACGGGAGGAGAAGGACCAGTGGAAGGCGGGAGACGAAGAACCTGCTGAAGGAGCAGAACGAAGTACGGCCGAGGCCGCGCAGCACCGCCAGAGACAGCAGGGACAGCACCAACACCTCCAGAGGCAGCACCAGCACCAGTAGCAGCTCCAACTCCAGCACCACCAGCAGCTGCAGAAGTACCCGCAGGAGGACCGACATTCGTAGCCTCAGCGCCAGTACCCGCAGCAGCTCCAGCTCCAGAGGCACCCCCGGGCCCGGCAGCTCCAGTACCCTCAGTACGAGCACCTCCGGGACCCGTGGTACCAGCTCCCTCGGCAGCAACGCAACCTCCAGCACCCGCAGTACCCCCAGCTCCAGCAGCTCGCCTCCAGCGCCGCGCAAACCACTCACGCAGCTCCAGAGGAGAGAGCGGCTCGCGGCGCGAAGAACGGTCTGGAGAACCACCAGGAACAGAAGCAGCAGGCGCAGCACTCCCAGACGCAGTACCCCCAGGCTCAGCACCCCCAGGCACAGCACCCCCAGGCTCAGCACCCCAAGGCTCAGTACCGCCAGGCTCAGCACCCCCAGGCTCAGCACCCCCAGTCTCAGCACCCCCAGGCTCAGTACCCCCAGGCTCAGCACCCCCAGGCTCAGCACCCCCAGTCTCAGCACCCCCAGGCTCAGCGCCCCCAGTCTCAGCACCCCCAGGCTCAGCACCCCCAGTCTCAGCACCCCCAGTCTCAGCACCCCGAGGCTCCGCACCCGCAGCAGCACCAGAGTCACCAGTGACCTCGACAGGCTCGACCGCGTCTACCTGAGACACACCTGAAGGGGCAGGACCCTGAGGGGGGAGGGGGTCTACCGGGGGGGGACCTGGGACCAGGAAGAGGGGTGGGGAGGGGAGGGACGGAGTGCGGTAGGGGAAGAGCTTGTAGAAGGGAACCGACTCGTCGAACGTGACGTCCTGGGAGGACAGAACACGACGAGAGGTGGGGTGGTAAAACTGCCACCCAGGTGCGTCAGGGGGGAAACCCAGGAAGACGCAAGGAGCAGCACGAGGGGACAGCTTGTCCGCAGACAAGTCGCGGACAAACGCCCGAGATCCCCAGACCCGGAACGCCGACGCATCGCCAACCTTCCCCGTCCACAGCAAAGCTGGGGAGGTCTCCGGTCTGGAGACCCTGGGCTGAAGGTTGATCTGATGCGCGGCGTACCGAACCGCAAACGGCCACAGAAAATGGGGGGCAGCCGCATGCACCATGGACGTACGGGCGACGTCCATGACAATGCCGATGCGGCGCTCAGCAATCCCATTCTGCTGTGGAGAGTCCGGAAGCGTGAAGGTCTGGCGGATGCCTCGTGCCCGACAGTAGGCTCGCAGAAGGCCGGAGGAGAACTCTCCGTCTCTGTCCGAGTGCAGACGCAAAACAGGAAAGTCCGAGCCGAAGCTCTGCGTGAGCTGGAGACGAGCTGCGCGGATCCAGTCGATCAACACATCAGTGACCTCACCCTTGCTGCGCAAGGGGAAGACTGTGGTGTAGCGCGAGTAGTCGTCAACCACCAGCAGGAAGTAGCGCTCGTGACCCTGTCCACGGACGCGGGCTGGGCCCCACACGTCCATGTGAAGCGTCTGCATCGGGGCCTCCGTCGGAGGAAACGGGGAGGAGTGAGGGGTAGCCCGCAGGCGACCCTCGACACAGGGGACACAGGGAGGGCCAGGCCCCGGAGGAAGGGGAGGGAGGGACCGGGGAAGGCCAGAGACAAGAAGGCGAGAGGCCATGCCCCGGAGACGAGGCAGGGAGGGGTGACCCATCCTGTGGTGCCACAGGAGGGTCTCGTGGGACAGGAGGCGACACGAGCAGGGGGCAGACTCAGGACCAGACCTGGACGCTGCAGCAAACACCTGACCCGACGCAGCTACCTGACCAGACGCAGGAGGAGGAGACGGAACAGTGAGTGTGTACAGGCTCGACCCCGGCCCACGTGTGAACGTGGTCAAGTGTCGACCCGTGTCCGCGTCCGTGCAGTGGGTGTCCCGTCGGCGTGCAGGGGTGAACTGGTCGACCCCTGCATCCTGTAGGTCAGCACCCGCCACCAAGTTCGTAGAGAACGAGGGGAGGTAGAGACCGGACAGGGCGCCAGACGGGACCGCAGGGCACGGCAGGACAGTGGAGTAGCGAGCCAGAACAGGACCCCCAGAGGGGTCCGCCAGGGAGACTGCCACTGGCCGACTAAGCGGCGTGAGTGTGGTGTGGTCTCGAAAGAAGGAGCGAGACGCCCCTGAGTCAAGAGTGAAGGTGAGAGAGGGCGGAGCCGACGCAGTACCTGAGAGAGCAGACTCACCAGCACCTGAGGACACAGACTCACTGGCACCTAGAGCGACAGCCTCACCAGCACCTGGAGCAGCAGCCTCAACAGCACCTAGAGCCGCAGTACCAATGCCCGGGTCGGGCGGGAAACACCGGTAACAGTCACCCTCCTCACTAATAGTCACAGCATACATGGCAGCAAGAATAGCATCAAAGTCAAGATCAAAGATAGCTACTCCTGCCCTAGACAGCTGGTCCCAGCGAGGGATCTCAGAGGCGTCAGGAAACTGGCGGCGCCAAGCGTCAGTCAGGCGGCCGAAGCAGCGCTGGGCGGAGTGTGGACCACCACACGGCTCACCCGCACGGTCGCCAGTGCGCAAGACGTAGGTGCACGGACCAGTACCCCCACCCCTCTGACGTGCAGCGTACCACTCACGGAGCTGCTGCGGGGAGAGGGTCTCCTGACCACGCTGCTGCCGCTGCTGCTGGCGCTGACCGCCACCGGAGCCACTCCTCTGCGACGAGCCACGACCTCCTCCTCAGCCTCCTCCGCCGCCGCCGCCACCACCTCCGCTGCCACCGCCACTCCCACCGTCGCTGCCGCCACCGCCGCCTCCGCCTCCACTCCCACCACCACCGCCGCTGCCACCCCCGCCTCCACTGCCGCCGCTGACACCGCCACTCCCGCCACCACTCCCGCTACCACCCCCACCTCCTCCGCAGCCTCCACCGCCGCCTCCACCGCCCCCGCCGCCTCCACCACCGCTCCTGCCCCCCTTGCCCTTGCCAGAGCGACGTCTCCCACTGGGGGTAGACGCCGCACCGACCGACTCAAAACCAACTAGGTCGGCCGTAGCAGCAGAAGCGACAGAGGGCAGGAGGGGGGAGGGGGAACACCCCTCAAAGATGGGGGTGCGCGGGTCACCACGAGAGGCCCCTACAGCGAGAATGCTCTTCTCGGCTGCTAGGAGGGACTTCTCGAGGAGGTCAACAGTGAGAGTGGTGGGGCAGACTGAGAGTAAGTCGTCCCTGACTCCGCGAAGGGAGTCAGGGAGGCGGGTGACAATGTAGTAGAGAGTGAAGTACTGGGGGGGGGGGTTCTTGGCGCAGAACTCAGCAGGAAGCGCAGCGCGGAAGCGAGCGTCACTAGTGCGCAGGTGGGTAATGAGGTCGGCGACTGTGGCAAAAGAAGCAATGTCGGGAAAGAGGTACGGTAGCATGAGGCGGCTCAGTGCAGCAGTGGCAGGGGTGGAGTAGCGTGCAATAACGGCGTCGTACAAGGTCTGAGCACTCTTGTACGACCCAAAGTGTGCACGCTCAGAGGGAGGGAGGTGGCGACGCACAGCAAGACGTGCAGCAGCATCGCGTGTGGCCCACTGTGAGCGAACAGTGGCATCCTCAGTAGCAGCAGGGGCGGGAGAGGCACCAGAAGTGAGATCAAAGAGAGAGAGGCTGTCAGCTATGTCGCACTGTAGGAAAAGCAGTAGGTCGTCTACCCACACGTCAAAGTCGATGGCTCTGCCCTCAGCGTCGAAGGTGAGGACAGTAGGGGTAGCCATGACAGCAGTAGGGTGAGGGCAGTGCGCAGAGTAAAGCTCAGTGCTCACCAGACAGGGCAGTGCAGGCGGCTCGGGCGGCTCGGGCGGCTCGGGCGGCTCGGCAGCTCGGGCGGCTCGGGCGGCTCGGCTGCTGGGGCGGCTCGGCTGCTGGGGCGGCTCGGCTGCTGGGGCGGGGCCGGGAGATGCAGTGGCGGGGCCGTCAGGGGTAGTGGCGGGGCCGATAGGTGCAGTGGCGAGGCCGTCAGTTGCAGCGGCGGGGCCGTCGGAGGGGACGGCGGGGCCGTCAGGTGCAGCGGCGGGGCCGTCTGAAGCAGCGGCAGGGCCGGCAGAGGGGACGGCGGGGCCGTCGGGTGCAGCGGCGGGGCCGGCAGAGGGGGACGGCGGGGCCGTCAGAAGGGGACGGCGGGGCCGTCAGGTGCAGCTGCGGGGCCGGTAGGTGCAGCGGCGGGGCCGGCAGGTGCGACGTCGGGGCCTGCAGAGGCAGGCGATGAGGCCGCGCGGGCGGCGCTAGGGGGGGGGGGCCGCGAGGGCGGCGCGACGCAGCAGAGCCGCGAGGGCGGCGCGACGCGGCCGTAAGGCCAGCGCGACGTGGCCCGGGCCGCGCGCGCGAAAAAAAAAAGGGTCGCGCGCGCGACTCGCGGGGGCCACAAGGGCAGCGCGAGAAGGACTAGGGGGAGCGCGCTTCGGGGAGAGAAGGGCGCGCTCCGGGCAGCGAAAATTTCGTGGGTGGGCCCTTAAAAAATGGTCCTTAGGAAGGACCCGCTCTATACCATGTTGAGATTAGAGAGAGAATGAGTGCACTATGAAATGAAACAAGTACAAGTACCAACCCTAATTGGGTTGTACCCCCTATGGGCTACCCCACTACAGCCTAAATATATGCATCAGTAATATAATCATCTGACAGCCCCACCTGCCCCTCCTGCCCCTCCTGATCCCCCGTATCCCCCTGCCCCAGGGGCCGCCATGCCTTCCCCCCTGCCCCCCCCTCCACTCCCCCCAACGCCTCCCGCTCCGTCTCCGCCCCCCCCACCCGCATAATACGGGTTCGCATACCCCTAATTGGCCTCTGAATCAGCCCCTGCTGCTGCTGCTGCTGCTGCCGCAGCTCCAGTATACGCCTGGCCAGCGTTATCAGCCCCACTGGCCTCGTTCTTATGCCTGAACCAGAGGAAAAGACCGACCCCCACGACTAGTAGCACGAGCAGCAGCACCCCCACCACGATTCCTATCATTGCCCCCGTTGAGAGGCCGTTAGAGGAAGAGGAGGGGTAGGCATTGGAGGAGGACGGAGGGGGCGGGGAGGAAAAGTGGGATGGGGTGGAGTAAGAGGGGGAGGAGTAAGAGGGGGAGTAGGATGGGGCGGAGTAAGAGGGGGAGTAGGATGGGGCGGAGTAAGAGGGGGAGTAGGATGGGGCGGAGTAAGAGGGGGAGTAGGATGGGGCGGAGTAAGAGGGGGAGTAGGATGGGGCGGAGTAAGAGGGGGAGTAGGATGGGGAGGAGTAAGAGGAGGAGTAGGATCGGGAGGAGTAAGAGGGGGAGTAAGAGGGGGAGTAGGATGGGGGGTAGGATGGGGAGGAGCTTGAAGCTGGGGAAAGTGGGGGAAAGGGGGGATACAAGTGGAGAGGCAGAGGGCGGCAAGGGAGGACGGAAAAAGGGTGAGGAGGAAGGGCATTGGTTGGAGAGCAGAGAGAGCATGAGGGGGATGAAAGGAGAGCGGAGCGTAGAGGGGAGAAGAGAGGGGAGAGGACAAAACGAGAGGCAAAACTAGAGGGTGCATTGACTCGAACAGAGAAAAGAATAGCTGAATGGATGGAAGGCGGAGGTGGGAAGGAGTGAGAGGCTGCACTAGGCAGCCAAAACAGAGATCGGGCTTGCTACCACCTCGCAGCGGCTGTGAGTGGTCATCCACGATATAGCATGAACATGAGAGGCGTATTACAACTGCATGCATATCCAGGAACACTTTTCCGGAAGAGAGCTCGTGAAGTTTCTTCACGTACTACGTAGCGAGTAGTTACATTGGACCCGTCTACACAGGTATGGTTACGCCCGGGTGTGGTAATGCCCGGCTGTGGTTACGCCCGGGTGTGGTTACGCCCGGCTGTGGTTACGCCCGGACGTGGTTACGCCCACCACATATAACCGCGTGGCAATAGCCTTGTACTCGTTATAGCACGCGTCTCAGTACAAACACTGTCCCAGCTGCACGAACTTAAAAACACATGTCTGCTGCGCAGAAACGGTTACACCGGCCAGGTCAAATGAGGTGGTGATGGCCGTGTACCCGCTATTGCACGATCGTGTCTCTGTACAGTCACTGTCCCAGCTACAAATACACGGACTTACAAATACACGTCTGCCCAGCAATGTATTTGCCGGCCAAGGTGAGCGAGGTGGTGATGGGCTTGTATCCGCTATCGCACGAGCACGACCACACGTACTGAGTGTCCCAACTGCATGTGCCGTAGACACACGGGCTATCCTTACAAGGATTGTACGCTGGGAGTGGGGGTGGCATGATTTGGAAACGAAAGAGAGAATTATTAGCACCAAGATTAGTTTTTGCGTCGATCCAAAAGGCAAGGCGTCTCAAATGTAAGTGTCCCAACTGCATGTGCTATCGTTACAAGAGTTGTACGCTGGGAGTGGGGGTGGCATGATTTGGAGACAAGAAAAGAAAAAAATTTCAAGTTATTAGTAGCACCGATAACAGTTTTGCGTTGATTCAACAGGGCAAGGCGTCGTAAATGTAAGTGACCCAGTGGGGTTCGTAAAGGAAGTGTGAAAACAATATATAGTAAGCCGGAAGAAAATCCATTGGGAGGACGCGGAATTAAAAGGCATATTGATTATGATCGGAAATTTCTGTAGCTTACAACTGAAGTTCAAGTAGATGGAAGTATACAGAAGAACTCAGAACCGCAGCGTCTGCTGACACGGTTCAATTAAGGTTTCATCGGACACTTCGAGCTCAACGCTTTCATTTCGCACCCCGAACTTGGTGGCGTTTTCTGCATTTCTTTGAAAAGCATCCTTTGACCGGCATGTCTATTTTATGCTCGAACTGACAAACTTGGAAAGGCTTCTAGCCTCAGATAGTTGAACGGGCGAGCTAACATGTGATAAGCTATGGATAATATAATAAAATGTTAGGGTTGGTTCGCCCAACCACGAAACCTACGGCGAAATGCGGAATGACGGCGGAATGAAAGCGCGTGGGAGATTCTAAATCTAAGACGGTGGAAATCGGCCAACGGTGGATACTAGAAGCTACGGCGTGAGAAGCGGGAGAGAAATCGGGAGAAATGGAGGAAGAAGAGTGGAGAAGTATCGAGATTGAGATCGACGGGAGGAAAATGTGGTTCGAGCTCGAGGCGTGTTCGAGAAAGTTCGGGATCCGGACTTGAGGAGTGTTCGGTGCATTCGGTTCGGTTCCGTGTGCGACTCGGGGTGGAACGAGACGCGCGCGAGACTGCTTGGGAAAGAAGTTACGTTACGAATCGCATTGTGTGCCTTGCATGCCTATAAAACTGCTTGTAATCATTCTGAAATTACAACATTGGACAACATTGATCAGTTGGAGATTCTGAAAATTGCTGAAGTGTGTATTGACAACTTCAAGCAGAGAGCTGCGCATATCATTGGATTCGTGAGATCGTGAAGAACACGATAAGCAATAGCAAGAAGACTATTGCCGACTAAGGTGTTTCCGATCCTAAGATAAAAAACGCCAAGTCTGGAAAATGGTAGCAAGTCGTACCTTGTGACGAAACAGCCGTAATTTGCGCGGCGGTGAAAATGGCGGTTGCATACAAAACTATTATTAATAGGCGTCGGCTCGCCCTAAGGCTGTGTATAGTTCCCGCATCCGCCATTGCGCCAAAGCCGAGTTCTTGGAGCGTCTTTTGGTCAGTCGCTGTCGTGAAGTCGCGCCAAGTCATTAGCTCAAACAAAAAGCGTGCCGCACGGGATTATGTCGACTTTCTGAGTCAGAGCTGAAAAGCGGACGCAAATGGACGCGGCGCTTATGTAACGAGAAATCCTAAGCGCTGATTTGAAATCAGCGCTTTAGTGAACGAGAAATATCATGAATCGCAAAGTTCGTGTTGAGGGTCACATGTGTTGAAGGAACGTCAACCAGAACGCCCAAAGCAAGCCAGAAACAGATTCTTGAGAATTAGACATGCATGGGAGTGTTGGCAGGGGAAGGGACGGGGGTGGCAGAAGTGAAGTGGAAAGCGAGGGAGGGTGGTGGGGTGGTGTGGGGGAGGGAGGACTTGTTGTCCAGCTTCTGTTCGAGAAAAATCTCTCATTTGACCCGCGTTGACTTTCCTGATATCACTCCAAATACAAGACCTCCTGGGTAGTGAGGCGGTCTTGCGATTCGAAGCCTCATTACAGTCCGTCCGATGTATCGTAGTTTACCAGTTCGAAAGATTCTATGAATTGTAGACAACTCCTTTCCTGATCCGATAACACCAACATTTGAAATAACGCGTGCTGAGTTTGAATGGAAACCTTACATTTAATTATTGACCAGAGCAGAGCACAAAACCGTTGAAAATCTGCCTCCATTCCAACCCCTTCAGCGAATGCTCATTGCACTGGTGCTACCCTGAAACGCCAGCCTTTCAATCATCGCTATTTCCGCACTGAAATTCCCAACTCTCTGGGACTCCACCTCCTCATCAATCCTCTCAGCCATCCTAGACGACACCTTCCCCAGAAACTCCTTCCTGAGAGCCGTGAGCTCAGATACCACCTGGATCATGTCAGGACGAGACACGGTGGGCATGGCCGTGCAGCGCAGCGCCAGCTGCGCCAGCCGCAGAATCAAATCTGCCGGGGCGTCCAATCGCGGGTCTTTTAATTCCTCCGCTTTGCCGGCCGCAACTAACGACTCCGCCTGATGGGAAGGGTTCACAAGAGGGAGTGGGGGAGTGAAGGGAAAGAGCGGGGAGGATGAGAGGTTGAATGGAATGGTGCCTGCCTGCTTGGCATGGAGGTTGAAACCACACAGGCGAGTCAATCACACAGGCGAGTTAATCACACAGGCGAGTTAATCACCCCAGTGTACCTACTTTACTCCAAAACTCCTCCTCCATATGTGCCTCAGAAAATCTTCAACCTCCCCCCTCCCCTTGTTGAAATAGCCAGATCACTTCTTTCCCCGCGTTGCTCGTGAACTCACCCATTTCCTGACGTTGAAATTGTTGCCGTTCTCATCCGCTTTCAGTGCATTGTGGCCGGACATTGTGGTCAGAATGAGGACGCCAAAGCTGGGGGATGGGGAGGCATGAACGGGGAAGAGAAGTGAACAGGGTGGGAAGGTACGGAAAGGAGTGGAGAGCGGTAGTTTAGTCGACTAAAACAACTTCCCCATTGATTGCCTTGCGGATGAGGATGCCAAAGCTGAGAGGTGCCGCTCGCTCAATACCGCTTCATATCATTCTGTACCTCTCTCCACCACTCTGTAACGGTTAGCACTGGTCTGTACCTCACTGTTCCAGGTAGAACCGTGTGCCCATCACTCCCTCCCAAGCAATCCCTTGCAACACAATACCGGTTTGCACCATATTTTTGAGGCGCCTCAAAAATCGTCTCAACACAGTACCGGTTTGCACCATATTGCACTGCTCAATATGAAGCTGTACCGCACTCCACCGCTCTGTACCTGTAGAAATCGGCCATGGGAGTGGCCTTGTTGGAGTTGAAATAAGCGGGTTTCCACATAGCCCGGTATGCCTATCCATTGCACTCTTCCTCACAGGATAAGAACACTCTGTAACACACTGCACCGCTCTGTACCTGTACACATTGGCCATGGAGCTGGCCTTATTGGACTTGAAGTATGCGGAGTCGACACAGCCCGGTGTGCCCGCCACTTTCATGTACTCTCTTCCAGGGCAACACGAGTTTGCACTGCTCTGTACCGCTCAAATGCACCGGTGTACCACACTGCACCGCTCTGTACCTGTACACATCAGCCATGGGGGTGGCCTTGTTGGACTTGAAGTAAGCGGGGTCCACATAGCCCGGTGTGCCCATGATGCGAGTGTCTCCCACCGTCGTGCCCTCGTTCTGCCTCAGCAGCCCAAAGTCTGCCACCTTGGCCTGGTGTGAGGCACAGGGAGGGATTTGAAGGGACAATGAGGGAGGAGAGGGGAAGCAAGGGCAAGATCATGATGCGAGTGTCCCCCACCGTTGTGCCCTCGTTCTGCCTCAGCAACCCAAAGTCTGCCACCTTTGCCTGGCGGGGTTAAGGGAAGGGCATGCAGAGAAAGGGGTTTCGAGGCAATTTCAGGGAGGGGAGAAGAGGCAGGGGCAAGATACCTTGGCCTGGTGGGTTTTATGGTGGAAAGTGCATTCAGGTCAGGGCACACGGGCTAAGTTGGAATATACGCTACTTTGCTTTTGCGTTTTGCGTTTATACTCTTGACGAATTCGTTCGGTGCGTATATTTTGAAAATTCGCCGAGTTGAATTTCGGGCAGACCGAAAAAAAAATTCAATCTGAAGCTTGCGACGTGTCGATCTCGATTTTGAGTCGCAGATGTCGCGAACTGAACTCGAATTTTGAATTTTGTGCTCCAAACCCCCTCAACCCCACCCCTTTACCGTTTCACACCCCTTTAAGCCACAGCATTCCACCGCCCCCTTCAACCACTACTTCATTGGTAGGGAGCTCAGCCCAACACAATCTCCCAGGCATAAAGAGTGGCATTTGTTCACTCGATATTCATTCTCTCTCTTCATATTCTAGCTACCTCTTCTCCCCAGCAAACATGGCTGCTACCCCTACAGCAACTAGTTTTCGTTCTTCACCCTCAGAGGCTCCTGGTAGTTCCGCTGGAGGGGCCTCTTCCGTTACGCCTTTGGTCTCCATGGACAGCAAGCACGTTGTGTACCGCCACTACAAATGTACGGCTGGCGTTGGCGACAACGGCACCAAGGTGTGTGCCTGCTGCAACTTCAAGTTCGTAGGCCGAGTTTACCGCTGCGCGCAGCATATCACCAGCTGGAACGGCATGCGCCGTCGCGAAGTGCATCTCTGCACTGCAGCGCCGAAGATAGCACATGACGCTGTGAAGGCGCATTACGAGTCCAAGTTGAAGGCCTGTGAAGCGAAGCGTGCGGCTGAAATTGCGGCGGTCGACGCAGTCAACGGCGGTTCAGACAAGAAGAAGAGTCGAATGACCGACTTCTATGGCGATGACGCCGCGTGCGCGAACCAGGCCGCGGACGAGGCCAGAAGCCTCTTCTTTGCCGCTCTTCATGTGCCGGAGCATCACGCGGACCACCCACTGTGGCGGAATGTAGTCTCCAGCATCAAACGCGCGGGGCTGAATTACATCGCGCCGAAGAGACGCTACATCGGTGGAGTCGGTCTTGCAAAGTGTCGCCAGCGCATTGAGGCGGCTCTCGCTCCAAACTCAGCAAGCTGGCGCCGTGACGGTGTCACTGTGGCAAGCGACATGTTCTTTGACAAGACCAGCCGCCTGCAAGCCAATGTCCTCCTCATCAACGATAGCGGAGCGGTGTTCGTGGAGTCGATTGACACCAAGATGGAGATGAAGATCGGCGGCTACATCGCGGGCATCTTACGCCCCGTCATCGAAAAGGTTGGCCCCGAGAATGTCGTGGCCTTGTGTTTTGACGGCAGGTCCAATTACGCGGCGGCCTGCAGGGAGTTGAAGACGGAGTATCACCACATCGAACACATCCCGTGCGCGACCCATGTCCTGGATCTCCTGATGGAGGACATCGGGAAAATGGGATGGGCGAAGGACGTCGTCACGCGCGGGGACACTCTCATCTCGTTCGTCCGCAACCATCACTTTACCCTCGGATACATGCGGAGCAAGCTAGTGAACGGCGGCAAGGGGAGGCAGGTTCTCAAGCCCGCGGGAACCCGATTCGGCACCAACTACATCGCCATCAACCGCCTCTGTGAAGTGCGCGCCGGCCTGATGCAGATGGTCCTCAGCGATGAGTGGCGCAACTGGCCAACGACAGCAAAGAGGGTAGGGGCAGATACCTTCAAAGTCAACATCCTCGATGACACGTGGTGGATGCGCGCCGAGTTCTTTGCGAAGCTGATGAAGCTGCCGTTCGTCGTCATGCGCAAGACGGACTCGGATGCGAAGGGTATGATGGGTCGTCTCTACGACCTCATGCTCCAGCTCAACGAGGACATCCACGGCTTCCTCGACGAGCATGCGGAAGGGGTTCTGACAAGCGGAGAGGTGGGGGATATTCGAGAGATCGTGCAGGACCGCTGGGACAACGGGCCGGCGTGCGACATGCACATGGTTGGCCGCATCCTCAACCCGAACAACCAGGAAGAGGGCATCTTCCGCCATGACATCGAATGCACGAGGGTCTTCAAGAAGTCCGTGTCCAAGCAGTTCGACAACCAGACCATCACCAGGAAGGACGGGGTCGAGAGCCGCGCCTCCCTCGTCATCCAGGAAGGCCTCACTGTCTTCCTAAACCTGACGGGCTGCTTCGGCATGCCCGACGCTATTGCTAACCGTGAGGCAGTGAAGGAGGGCAGGATGACCGCGGTGGCCTGGTGGTCGTGGCATGGGACCGATCATCCCAAGCTCACCACGCTTGCTTGCCACATGCTCACGCTGCCGGCGTCTGCGTCACCATGCGAGCGGAACTAGGCGAAGTTTGATGCCGTGCATGCAGCACACCGGAACCGTCTCGGCGCGGAGAAGCTTCGGGACCTCGTGTACGTGATGCACAATTGGCAGGTTGTGCACAATTGGCACAAGGTCCCTGAAGGGCAAGGGGTGGTAAAGGGAAACATCGAGGAGCCCCTCACTCCGGCTGGCTACAACGTCGAGGAGGAGGTGGAGGAACCTGAGGAGGGGGAGGATGATGTGATGGCCGATGAGTACGGGGAGAGGTGCTACGGAGAGAGGTGCTATGGGGAGAGGTGCTATGGGGAGAGGTGCTATGGGGAGAGGCGCTATGGGGAGAGGTGTTATGGGGAGAGGCGGTAACCACAAGGAAAGTTGCCTCGAACGTCAGCAAGTCAGGAGCTCACCTGAAAATTGGACTCAAGGAGGATGGACGTTGGCGGGTTTGAGTTTCGGTCGCCTTGGGTGGAGTGCGGTGCTGTTGGGTGCATGTCAACACCTACCGGTGAGGGCAGGGAGCGGCGCTCATAAGCAGAGAGAAGTTAAAGAGACAGACAGCAGGGGCTGACCTGCAAGGATGCGGCTCACCCCGAACTTGCCGTCGAGGAGGATGTTAGCGGGCTTGAAGTCGCGGTGCACGATGCCCCCTGTCGAGGGCATAGAGTGGTGCGTATAGCGATAGGAAAATGTGGTATCCACAGAGGCAGGAGGGGCTCACCTCGAGCTTGTGATCGAGCAGGATGTTGGCGGGCTTGATGTCGCGGTGCACGATGCGGGGGAGGTGCTCACAGGGGAAGGCACGACTCAGAAGAGGAGCTGAATACCAAGGAGGACCGCGCAAGTCCGGGGTACAAGCTCACCTCGAACTTGTGATCGAGCAGGATGTTGGCGGGCTTGATGTCGCGGTGCACGATGCCAAAGCTGTGCAGATACTCGATCCCGTGGGCCGCCCCGATGAGCACCGCCATGCGCTGCGCCACCGCCAGCGGCTGTACCGCCCCCTCCCCCACCCACCGCTCCAAGTCCCCGTTGGCCATGAACTCGTACACCACTATCTGCTCCATGCTCAGTTCGCCCTGGGTGGAGTGCGGTGCTGCTGGGTGCATATCGATGCAGTAGCCGAGTAGCCGCACCAGGTTGGGGTGGTGCTTTGTCGCCATGGCTGCCACCTGGAGTAAGGTGGGATGGATAAATAGGAGGATTGTGTGAGTGCGGAAGAGGGGAAAGAGAGTGAGTGACACACTGTTTTCTTACAA